AGATGGAAGGCGGAAGTTTGATCTTGGTTATAAGAAAATAGAGAAGCATATTTTTTAAATTTATCAGGGGACAAGCATACAAAATGGTTCAATGAGTAAAATCCTTGTCTTGGAGACATGGCAACCTCAGGTTTATTTCTGGAATCCACATAAAAATGGAAGGAGGAAATCCATCCCATATATTTTCCTCTGACCTCTTCATGCATAGTATATATAATACTGCATCCCCACTTAAACTGTATTTACAATGATAATTATGTTTATTTTGAATCAAGCAGTGAGTATTTAAGTGTAAATCATTCCTCTTTTGTATTTTATCCATTTGGCAGGATAAATGTGATATTTTAAATTGATGTGAAGTTGTGACAGTCAAAGATTTGTGGAGTAAAGCAAGTTCTCAGATTTTTGCAACTTCCAATGTCTTCTTTGACAATGAACATCATAGGACCTAGGTGCAAAGTTTACTAGGCTTTAACTCTTAAAATATTATATGAAAAATAAAGGAGAATTAAAATCATGTCAAAGTTTCTAAAGTAAATAGCATAAAAGAAGAAAATGAAATACAGTATCTCCAAACTTAGAAATAATTTGATCCCATGAGTCTCATGGGGCACATGCTATAACAGCTTTACAAGCTTCTTGTCAAGGATGGATGTCTTGCACTGTCATTATTTGAGTTTTAGCATACTCTGTTCTAAAACTATTTTACTGAAATCAGTAGCATTCTGTCACTTTGTCAATATTTGTGAAATGAAAGTCTACTTTTCTAAACACTTTGAACAGAGGAAAACATTAAAAGGAAGACCAGAAAGAAGGAGCTCTGTGCTCAAAAAAGAGCTGAGCATGAATCTTGGATTCATCACTGACAGAGCCATCCTTGTGAAAATAACTGTACCTGGGTTTTTAGGGTTTCTTTGAGCACAAATGAAACCAGGTAAAATGCTCAAATCTGCCTGGAACCTTCAATGAATGTTAGATATTGCATTCAGGTTGTTATCGGTGCTATTATAAACTCAAATTGCACTCAATAATTTGTTACATGTATTAGAATGATTAAAATCAATTTTAACATATAATTATATGCTAGATGCAATCTGTAACTTAGCCACTGTGATTGGGAATGTGGAGTGAAGGAGTTTAATTCTACAGAAACCAGGGAAAATGTAACAGTTATGACTTTCTGCTCTTCCTGGGTTTTAACCTTGAAAGAGAACTTGCTCTGAAAAGTTGTTAATTCTGTGTGCCACTCATTATTGGAAATCCACATGCACATGTGAAATAAAAAACGAAAATCTTTGATGTTATTAATATTTTGTTTTGTTGTACTGATGCAAGGTCTTATTTTATAGCTAAGTACTCATGACAGTCCCCCTTTCATCTGCCTTCCTAATACAAGGATAACAGGTGTGAAAAATCACGACCAGCTTCAAAAAATGTATTTTAAATACATTTAGATACTATTTCACCTATGTAAAATACAGTAGTATGAAAGAACATTGCACTAATTGGATATACATTATGAGAAAACATGTATTGTCCCTGGTCTTAGTGGAAATGTTCGGAGTCTATTAAACATACATAGCACTTATTGATATAGATTTATTAAACCATTCCTGCATCTATGGAATGGAGCTCTCTTGGTCTTGTCCCTTTCATAGGATCTTGGCTTTCGTCAGTATCACATATTATTAATGGGAGTATAGTTTAGCTACTCAGAAAATCAGTAGGCACATTTCTGCAAACATTAAAAAGATCTACATATGACCAAGTGTAAATTATTCCTACATATAAGTTCAACATACCTTATAGCTTACAATAAAGAACCTTGCACATTCATACTGATTGCTGTTTATTCACAATACTTAGGAAATGGAATGCACCCATATCCATCAATTGACAAATGAAAATGTGGTGCATAATGTGGTACATGTATGTATACAATGGAATATTACTCAATTTTAAAGGAAAATGAAGGGAGAAATTTGCAGGCAGAAGATGGAACTGAAAAAGTTACACATGATGTATTCAGCTAGGCACCAATAGACAAATGTATATTCTCTCTCAGTTATTTTCCTTCGTATGTTTGGCATTCAGGGCATGTGGAGAGTAGGAATAGCGAAAAGGGCTTTTGGTGAGGAACATGCATTTAGAGAAGGAGGTGGTAGAATACTATTTTAAATAAAAATAGAAAAACAGAATTTGGGGGGCAGAAACAATAGATGACCTAGTGGAGTAATAGGGATTGTAGACAAGAGTGTTCATGGGAAGGCCTAACAAAAATGAAGTGTGAGTGTAGAGCATACATGGAACCTAGGATTCTGCAACTCAAGTCAAAATACAGTAAGAGAGAATAATAGGAATCATGTAATATGAGGTAACAAAAGGACAATGAAGGAGTAAGTGGGGATGGGGGACTGTGATGGCTTGAATAAGACTGGCCTCCATAGGCTCAGAGACTCAAATGCTTCCTTCCCAGTTGGTAGACTATTAGGAAGGATTAAAATTGTGGCTGTGTTGTAAGAGATGTGTCACTGACAATGGGTTTTATGATTCCAAGAACCATGTCAGGACAAGGCTCTATCTCTTCTCTTCTCTTCCCTTCCCTTCGCTGCTCTTCTCTTCTCTCTCTGTCTCTCTCTCTCTCTGTCACTCTCTCTCTCTCTCTCTCTCTCTCTCTCTCTCTCTCTCTGTGTGTGTGTGTGTGTGAGTGTGTGTGATACCTGTGAAGCAGGATATGAAGCTCTTAGCTACTGCTCCAGTGTCATACCTGTCTGCTTCTTCCCATGACCCTTCTGGAAATTGTAAGGAAGCACCCAATTCATGTTTTCATTCATAAGAGTTACACTGTTCATGGTGTCTCTTCACAGCAGTAGACCAATAACTAAATCAAAGACTGAGGGAGGAAAAAGGATAGGAGATGGATTGACCAAAACTAATGGTGTAAAAGAAGCCTCAAGAGACCCCATTCATTTGTAAGCTAATTTAAAATATATTATTTTAAAAGGGCATTTTAACATAAGTACTCCATATTAACAGACAATACTACTCCAAGCAGAGATGGGTTACTAAAAGAAAAATCTTAGCTGAAGAAATGGGATTACCCCCTAAAAGTTTTGGTCAGGGAGGTCTCAATGGCATACCAAAACTATAGTCTTTTCTCATTATTCTCAGTTGTTCACTGTAACTAGGCCCTGTTACTGAAGATATTATATGCATTGGTGACATTTAGAGAGAAATCAATCCTGAACTGACCAGGGATCTCTACCTGCTGCCTATCTTTCATATCACTGAAAGGAGTATGCAAGCTGGTAGGGAAGAATGTACATCTACTGTTACTGACCTTCTAAACAGTATCTGTACACTGTACAGTAATGAAATTGTATTCAAGGGGTAACCAGCTGGTCTCTTGACTAGACTTTAGGCCTGCTTCATAGGAAGAAAACAAGATCAAAACTCTTTGCTAGGGAAGGATTAGACTATAGAGGAGAACCCATGCATATTCTTCTACTAAATAATCATGTTCTCAAACTGCCTTATAAGTACTCAGGTTTATATCCAGAGATTTGTTCTGGCCACAATTTTTGTTAGAGAAGCTTATTTCAGTGGGTAGTAGTTACTATTCAAACTGTTTGGAGTAACTCTAAGGGCTCAGTTACAGAGAGAACATCTATATCACCATCATCACACCCACAAAGGTACCTGATACATTTCAGGAAAAGGAGACAAAAAGAATGTAAGAGCAAGCAAAGGCTGTAGTGTAATGCCATCCTCTGGACACGGCTTTTCCATGAACGAACTCACAGCATCTGTGATTGCCTACACAGAATCAAGACAGTTAAGAATTCTAGCTTGTAGTAGTTTGTGGATTCTGAAACTACCCACTAGATTAGAACTATTAAGAGCTGACGGTTGCTCGAAAACTGTGGTTCACTTTTCTTTAGGAGAATGACCATTAGAAAATTATTCAGGCCAGAGTGGTTGATCCTATGTACATGTTGGTAAGACCAACACAACTAAACATATTAAAATAAATAAATAATCTTTAAAGAAACATGAAGATATGATTCTAATATCCTTGGGGGATATTGAGTAGTGGTAGTGTCATTACAGGATATTGTATTAAAAAATGAAAGTCAAGTTTCATAAGGAAGACCAATAGAGTAAATTAAAATATTATAAATAAGGCTTTCTGTCTTGTTAGTTATAGGTAATCTAGTTTTACTTTCATTTTATTTATCTTTTTTCCTATTTCTCAAGCATCCTATTTATAAACAAATCCTAATCCAATATTATTTCTAACCATTTTCAAAATACCTATGCTTATACTTACAGAGAAGTGTAACTCCCACTACTCTCCAAAGAAACTTCTTTTTGCAAGAGATGGAGACAATTACACATATATACAACTAGTGAAAATACACAGAATACTATGGTGTACCCAACCACAAGTGATATATGCAACACCTAAAGCTGAATCTGAGTGAAAATCAAATCATGGAAGAGGAAATGGAAAAGTACTAGACAGTGGATAATGACACTTGTTGAGAAACCGTGTTCCCTAGACATGATAAGGAAACCCACCTATGAATAATCAACAACCTACTTGCCTGTACAAGACCATCATGACAACACCTGCTGACATGCTAAAGCAGGCAGGAGAATTCTACAGTGTCCCACCTCTACATGAATTACTATAGGAAGTCAGATGTTTCTGAGAGGAAAAATAGTTGTCCCAGCAACAAACTCCCACATAATTTGCCCAATCCCAATTGATAGCCCTGAACAAATGTATGTATGAGCAAGTTAAATGAACCCAGGGGGTCCACATATATTCACATACGTATGTGTATGCACATGTAACAATAATAATTAAAGAAGAGATTGTGATTTTTGAAAGTAAAGATGACAGTGAGAAAAGGAGGGGGAGACAGTGATTTATATATGCAATGTTCCTATGTGAAATTCTCAAAAATACTATTAAATATAAAAATAAATCATACCGAGGTCCTGTTTTTATGCTTCCTGTCCCTGGTGGTTTTTCCTTTATTATTGCTAGTAAAATAATGCAAGGTTCCATACTCCATCAGTGCTGCAAACACAAAAATGAAACACACAGAGACAAAGAGATCCATCGCTGTTACATAAGAAACCTTAGGTAAAGATTTCCTGGCAATTGTACTGAGGGTTGTCATAGTCAAAACCGTTGTGATACCTGTGAAGAAAAGGAGAAATAATAGATGATTAAAAGTAATTTAGCAGAACATTTTTATTCTTTTGTTTAATTTAACAATATTGTCAACTGAAATAAACAATGGAAACAAAAGAATATGATTGCCAGAAAGAACTACTGGTAACCATGGTTACATTATGTTCACTGTGTTCTTTGTGTAGGAAATTTCAATGATTCAAATTACTATGGATTTCAGGTTGGCTCCTAATATTCACTCTTCCCTTCCTCCATAGCTAAAAAGGAAACATTTTTAGTTGACAGAGGCTTTCTTAAAGAATAATTTCATTGTCTACATCCTCTGCAGCAGAGTGGGACCACAGAGTAAGATCTTGCCTGGGGAACTAAGCCAGGAATTAATGTCTAGAAGACATAACAGTGCTAGAGATACCTTACATTTTTTCCCCTCCTTTTCTCTGTTCTACTGCAATACAATGACTAGAAGGCAGTAGCCACCTTAAGCTATAAAACGACTATGGAAATACAAGCCACCCACAACACATCTGAAAACCAGATGTCCCTGAATCCCTCTCGCCACAGGGTACAACACCACACTCAGCTACCACTTCTGGATGTGTACAGTAAATACATACTTTCCAACTTACTGGAAGCAACAGTTATTGCAGGCTTTTATTGTTGTTGTTGCTGTTGTTTTTTTTTAATCTTACCCAGTGAAAGTAAACTAAATTTATGTACTAATGTAATATTTTCTTATGTGGTGATTTGAACTTAATTTCTAAAATTTCAAACTTAAGGATACATGGAGAATTATGAAAATATAATTTTATATTTCAAATACACAGAATGAATTTTTGTATTTCCAAGAATTCAGTATGTGTAATGCTGGTATGTGTCAGAGGCAAGGCCATGTGTCTATTCATGGACTCATTTACCTCTCTCTTTATATGTCAGTCTTCTTACTAATTTTACTGTTGATAACCCTAGGCCACCTATATGAAAAGAACTCTATAATCTCTGTTTTTGAAACTACAGTCATCCTCATTGTTCTCCAGATACAATTATTTAAGTGCCTTTGTGTATGAGTGTTTTACCTGTGCATTTGTATGTACACCACATGGATGCACAAGAAGCTGAAAGACAGGATCAGATCACCTAGATGTATAGTTGTGAGTCCATGGGTGTGATGGAAAACAAACCTAGGTCCTGAACAAGAACAGCATGTGATCCTAACCATCAAGTTACCTCTCTAACTACCCCCACACCATTCTCATACTTTCTTCCAACAACAACAGCTTTATGAATGGAATGTTTAACTCTCTCAAATACACTAAGCATAATGCTAAATATATAGTGATTTGTAACTATGAATATAATAGTAAGATCTTTAATTTTAAAAAAAAGCCAGTAGAAATGGCTACAGAAAAGTCTTTAGTATAGGGTGAGCTGTAGGGAACATTTTCTCTTATGTGCCCACTGGAACGTGCTGAAATAATTCTCAGACATTCTCAGTATTTTTCTTTCATGGATAACCATTATTACAAATAAAAATGACACAAATGTGGTAGATTTTGAGAAGCAAATTTAGGTTCAATTTCTTAATCTCTACTTCTTTGCTGTGTAATCTTAAGAACAATGTGATAATGAATTCTTTTCATGCCAATAGATTACTGTTGTCAGTATCCCTAGTTCCTAATTTATAAATTTATTATCATATAAAGAAGCTTCAATAAGTCTTTTATTAATGAACATAAAATATATTAAATAGTCATGATGATTGAAATGTACAAATATAGATTTTTTCACTCTTCTTCTCTAGACCTATAAGACCTAAGTTTTTTCTGATATTGATTCTTCAGAATTTATTACTGACATATTTATGTGAATTTCACTTTACTCTGTTCATTGAATGAACTTGTTTTCCATCAGTCACAGAAGTAATAAGGAAACCTATTAAACATTGAAAATAAAACTGACTTAAATTTATATATTTCAGAAACAATTATAATTGCATTGTGATTCAACCTTTACCTTGAAAATGAATAAATTGATTAATAAGCTTTCCTTGTATAATACTGCAAATATAGATTGTCACTTCCTTAAAACACATACAAAATCAGTCATTTATTTTATAATGTGATCACTACAACACGCTATTATAGGATGATCATAATCTATTTTTTAAAGTACAAATTAGAAATTACTTTTGTAATCAACATTATTGTACAAGAACTCTAACAGTAACAGATTAATCCCAATGTTTTTGATGTTATAGAAACCAGGAAGCTCATGCTCCATCCAGATAGCTGTCTCTTGGAATAGCTGGGCATCAATTTGTTATTCTACTATTAACTAGTAAATGAATCTTGATGATTTGTGATTCTGCTACAACATAATCAAGTTTTGTTATAAAGTAACTAAAATATTTATCAAATAAGATTCAGATATTTCCCTTCTCTGTTTTCTAAATATATATTAAGTTCTATTTATAGGAAAATTATGAGTTTCTAATTCCAAGTTCATTAGTATGTAAAGTCCTTTACTATTTAAGCCCTATATAGTCTAGGGGAAATTTCTAATATATACATCCATGAAGTTTTATTTATTAATCTTTAAGTTCTTATGATATAGTAGCATAGTCTTACCCAGTGATGTTCTGGCAGGTACTGCATCTTTATTGATCCAAAAAGAAACCCAAGAAAGGACAACTGTTAGAATGCACGGAATGTAGGTCTGAATGGTGAAATAACCCATCCGTCTGCTCAGGTCAAAAAAAATTGTCATGATAATATAATCTCCTATAAGAAAAGGATATGTTCTATAGTTAGTAAAATATGTAAAATGTCCATTCTACTTTATATATTTAAGTAACAATGGCATTCGTGGTCAGTCTTGAACACTGACTTCTGGTTGACTCTTACCAGAGATTGTATGGGAGATTTCAGTGGAATTTCGTAATCCTACAAATGCAAACTGATATAATCTCCAGTACTTAGGATCAGCTACTTCCACAGAGGGCTTTTTCCACTTATACTCAATTTCATTTTTAGGGTATCCATCTAGAGAGAAAATTGTAATAAAATATATGCAATTTAGCAAAAGTTAAGTAAATTACCATTAGAATACCAAAACCACCCAAACAATGGTTCTTTGAAATTCTTCCCTCGTTCAGTATTACTAGGTTTGTCTAGTATAGAAAAGAGTAACTGAAATTTGTAAGTGTTTGAATGATTTAAAGAATTAAATAGCAGTTAAGATGATTAAAGGCACAAGTTTTATTTTACCATTCCATTGAGTAGTTTGAGAATGAGGGAAAGTTGTTGATGCTGATCTATTGTCCTTATTCATATATCTCAATTTGTCTCAGTCATTATTCACCTGGAACCTGGGAAGAATCTCAGAATATCATGTGCTAGAACTACAATTCTATACCATTGTGTACTGGTAATTTGTATATCTACAGGAAATCAATATGTTTTTACAATATCCTCATGTCTGGGCTGATTGGAAGCCTACCTTTCTGCTTACAAGTTCTTATATGAGGTCCCATGGCTAAAATCTTTTCCTCCTGGTAATAATAATTTGAACGAATTTATTTATTTATTTATTTATTTTTGGTTTTTACGAGACAGGGTTTCTCTGTGTTGTTTTTGAGGCTGTCAGTCCAGTCTGGCCTCAAACTCAAAGAGATCCGCCTGCCCCTGCCTCCTGAGTGCTGGGATTAAAAGCGTGCGCCACCAATGCCCGGCGAAGGAATATTTTAATAAAATGGAAATTTTTGTTGTTTCTACAGATGAGTTGGGATATCTCATTACATAATCAAAGTCTGCTAATGACTGTAAACACTTTCAAATAAACACTTTATTTTACAAATCAATATACCTGTCATCTGTGCTGACTTGTTTAGGAGTAGTTTCTCTTTCAGTTTCTTCTATAGTCTCTTTATCTTTTCACATTGTGATTTGCTAGCTTGCTCTTATTATAAATACAGAAACTTGACAGAATAGTGACAGAGTTCTCTGGGCACTAATAAACACATAATTGTGACACTGAGTGTTACTATTAGACTATACTAGAATTTTCTGTATTTTGTTTTGAACTAGTGGGAGGTGGATATTTGAATTTAACTCATAGACTTGTATAACTATCCTGAAAATCTGTGACTATAATTAATATGTTTGTGCCATTGACACTCAATTGCCTTTACAAGGGTGTAGGAGGCCCTAGTAATATCAGTCAAAGCCAAGAGAAGATCACACCCAGACATTGTAATGGAGCCTTTAAGACAGAACAAAGAGTGACAGAACATCAATATTTACCTATAAAGGATGCCTTGAACATTTGAAATAATCATACCTTGGATGGTAATTAAAATTTATCTTCCTGAGACAAAGTTTGGAAAACAAAGAACTGAAATCTGAGCTGATTAGTATAGAAGTGTGTTGTACTATGGCAAACTGATTAAAGTATTTCAAGAAATTAATAAAGTTAAACGAATTTTGGAGATAAATGAACAAAGTTGGATAAAACTTGAGAATTGCTAATCCTCACTCTGTGATGGAGGGGCTCAGACTCTAAACAAAAATCATGATTTCTAAGAAGGAAACATGCTAATAACTCATCAATATAATTAATAGCACTTTAAAATGACTACATATTTCTAAAACTTAGCTATTATATAGATACATATTTATATAAAATATATATGAGTATAAATGTATTAGTAATAATTGGATATAATTAATTTTCAGCAAAACATTCTAGCTATCATATTGTAAGAAAGTGCTAGATTAGTTTTTTATTTCACATTATTGAGATTTAAGCACTTTCCTGTATTTCATTACTTTTTCTTTATTTAAATCAACTTATAAGTACTACTGTTTTTCCAACTCACTAAAGTCTTTTAAATACTTGCTATTTACTAAGCAAACACTTTTCGCTCCACCAATTTTTAAAATATACCTTAAAAGCCAATCTAATAAAATTGGATTTTGCATCAGAAAGATTGATATACTTTGCACAAAATTTTCTGGTTGTAACATCATTTGTATGCAAGAATCGATTCACAGACCATTAGAGTATTCAGAAAGAGAAGAAGGGATATTTGCTTATTTTTTCACTCCGATTTATTTGCTTTGTCTTATATTGTTATTCTTTAGTTGTCAGTTTGTTTTCTAAGAAGAGACGAAATGAATGTTATTCAAATGAGGAGAGGAGATAAGAAATCTTTTAGAGAAGTTGGGGGAAGGAAAATTACAATTAGAATATATTGTATAAAATCTATTTTCAATGGAAGCAAAATAGAAAAATAAATTTAAAAAGCATTGAAATAAAACTGAAAGTTTTAAAGATTACTTTCTAATATTTATATTCACTATACATTTATTTAATTAAAATCAATAATTGAATTCATTATTTGTATCTTTACCTTAAAAGTTGAATATCTAACATTCTTCTAAGATTATATTTGATTTCATTTTGTATGCTAATAAAGCATTTTTAGTTAAAATTTATGGTAAAATTATCAAACTTTTTCACTTACAGCTTGAAAATTCCAGTGGACAGGAATGTTCATCCATAGGAAAGTTATGAAGTTGAAGATAGCACTCTGCATTAATTGTTAATCTATTTAGATGAAAAATAGGTATTTCATAAAACAGAATTGTTTAAGTCATGAACAACCAGTTATCTGATTTTAAAACATCTTTTGGACATCCTATAATGGACTGTGGTAAACAAAATACAAAGACAACCTTAAAGTATAGTGATATGAGAGTTAAACATTTCTTCAGTCAACCAAGTAGATACTTTGTATGTGTCAATCTTTATATTTACATTTAAAATAAAGCTTCAATAAATTCGTGTGTGTGTGTGTGTAAATACATGTTCATAGGCCTCAGAAAGTAATACATTATACAAGACTATGCATCAGTTTTTTTCTCTGAATTTAGCATGATAATTTTCAAGAATGACACCAACAAACATGACAAAAACAGAAACGAAAACGCCCAAAGTTTGCAATCCTACACAAAGAACTACAGACAACTGAGGAAAGCTGGGGGCAGGAAAGGTGACCCTCCCAGAGAACAGTATGCTCATTGGTTGTACAATGATAGATGGTTAACTCTGAAAACATGTGTAACACTGTATGAATTGAATGGGTTATATTTAAGAATATGTATGTATATACATATGCATATTCATATATGCATACACATAGGGATAAATATAAATATATGCGTGCAACAACAATCAGTGAAGAAACATGCCATGAATTTGATGGAGAACAGGGAGGCTTATATGGGAAGGTTTGGAGGGAGGACAGGAAAGAGAGAAATGTGAATATAATATAATCTCAAAAATAAAATTAAAATAGTAAAAATGAAATGATTATAATAGCATATATTTTGAAGGGAATAAATTGAGTAGATTTGAAATTATGCATCAATATTTTTATTACTCTGCTAAAAATCAGAATATTAATAAAGTAAAGGGAAAAATCACAGTAATTTCCACTATACACTTAGAAATATAAGCCAAGACAGAACACATGACTCGGAAGCTAAAAGCTAACTGATCTCGAAGAGGACCTGTTTTGGTTCCCAGTAGCCACATGGTGACTCACAACCATCTGTAAGCCAGTTTTAGGGGATCCAAGTCCCTCTTCTGGTTTTCACCAGACACGTGTGTATTAAAATGCAAGTAAAATTCATATACATGCAAATAAAATACTTAAGACAACATTAAATAAATAAATGAACAAAATAAAAATATAGGGCACTACCTTTTCTTCTTCCAAGTGGAAGTTCGAATTTTTGTCCCCACACTTTTCATATAATAGCAACTCTGAATAAAGAAAGCATCACCGAAATACTTCACCATTTTCCAATTTTGCAAATGAATGGAGTCCCTGTGTCCTTCTCTGCTGGTGTTAGGAAGGCTTATCTGAGAATTGATAATATAACTGAAGTTTATAACAAATATTACCGTAGAGTGTATAGAACTCTTCCATCACTCCAAATACGCAGCAGGCGATTAGGTGTTGTTATCCAATGTGCATCAGACTTTCTTGAGTTCCTGAAGAAAGTATCAGGAATCCAAATTTTTCCCACCATGTTGCTGTTAAGCATCAGCACTTTCATGGTGCTATTGAATTTTAAGCGGCTGTCAAACCAGGTTTGAGCAAAAATTATATCTATTGTATACTCCTAAAAGATTAAAAAAAAGACATTGGTAATGCTGTCATTTGGGCTGCTTTCCTTAGGAAATTGAAATTTTGTTGTACAAAATAACTAAATTAATAGCACTCAGACTCAATCTTCTGGTGTTTTAAAATTCTTTTAAAAGGATTTTAAGTGATTCACATGAAGTGAATTCTAGTAATTCTACATGCCTTCTATGACTTTTACCTTTTATATTGCTTTCAGTTTCATAATTCATCAATTTTAGCAATGATGAGTTATCTTCTTAACAATGATAAATTTGGTTACATTTACACCATACCTCCATAATCATGTCCAAAATCAAGGCGCAAATATCCATCAATTATTTAAAATAATTCAAGATATCTTTAGTCTGAGAACTTGAATCCCATTATTTCAGTACAGTAGTGATAAATGTATTATATTGGCTATAAAATCACCAACTAAGCAATTACAATATGCTAAACATCACATTAGTGGTTCTATATGCTATCCTGTTATTAAAACTTTCCAAATGAAAATACATGTCACAATAATAAATGCTTTCCAAAGCTTTCAAGTGATGAAAAATGAAGAACTCGTTCCCATTTCAGAGTTCATAATTCCCAATCGACACTTACAAATTTAATAATGAGGTCCTAGGTGTCAACCTTCTGTTCACAAGGTGGTAACCAGCAAGAGCAAGACGTGTTGTTAAGAAAGAGCCCTCAGATGAGATATTACCCACTTTGGGATCCTGACAAACAGCCTGCAATCTTATAAGCATTAGATATTACCCACTTTGGGATCCTGACAAACAGCCTGCAATCTTATAAGCATTAAAAATTTTCACCAAGCCGGGCGGTAGTGGCACACGCCTTTAATCCCAGCACTCGGGAGGCAGAGGCAGGCGGATCTCTGTGAGTTCGAGGCCGGGCTGGACCGACAGCCTCCAAAACAATACAGAGAAACCCTGTCTCGAAAAACCAAAAAAAATAAATAAATAAAAAATTTCACCAAAAAAATCAAGGGAAGAAAAAAATACAGGAAGGAACGAAAAAAAAAAAAAAAGGTGTCTCTCTGTGGCTGTTTGCTTGCATGTGTTTAGAACTTTGACCTTAAAAGAGGAAAGAAAAACAGTTTAAAATATGGAGTATCATATTAGCTACATGTGGCAGGGGAAGATTGAGTCCTCTTGCTTGATGTGATATTTGCAATTGGTCAATTTGCCTGAAAGGAAATATTTGCCTTAAGAAATGGATGCATGACTGTGAGTTTTGTTAATGAGTATTTAATATCTTATTTTTAAGCCAGGGAGTCTAATGAGCAAACAGTCTGGGATTCAATGTCCCAACAGGGAAGTTGGATCAAGTCCTAGATTGCAGCAAGATTATTTATCATTTGGTTACTGGAACATAGAGATAAATCAAGAGGGAAGCTTCATCACACACTTATAGCATGGATTCTTAATTGCCTTACTGAATATTATCAGTGCTATGAAATATAATCTCTATGTTTGTCCAGCAAGGCAAATGTTACTGTCCTGACTGATCCTTGAATCTTGAGGAAAATATATGGACATATGTTATTTTTAATATCGTTACTCACTTCCTTACCAGGACAAATGTCACTTAATAAATATTGGGGATCAACTGGGATTTACTTAAATGTCTTCCTCTCTTAGTCAAAAGATCAACTCCTTTAAGCCCGACCCTAACTTATCAATGATGAAAAGCTGTTTTGTAATAGTAAATATGAGCAGAAAGGAGACCTTGTACAGGCTAGCAAGAGAATATAGCCGATGCTATTTAGCACAGTCAAATCATGCACTTGGAAGGGAAAAATAAAGCAGAAAACTCCTAAGAAAGTAGGCAGGATTGTGGCCTGGGAAATAACAAGCACTGGCTGGTATAAGGAGCATCGTGACACTTAAGTATAATTGACTTCCAATTCCTAAGATAGCATCAAACGTGGCATTTGAGAACTAATTTCCCAGTAATAGAATTTTGCAAAAAGCATAAACACCATTCAGCAGCTTCAAGGAATGTATTAATTCCAATGCTAGGCCACAGACCCAGAGCTTTATACCTACATGGCCATACACTCAGCACAGAAATTTGTTTTACAATACGTAATTCTAAATGTGCTCATTGCTATAGGAGGGGTCATGACTTCTAACAGGTCAGATTTCCCTAAATATAAAATGTTAAAGAAAAGTAAAAGGTTTCTACCCACTGTTAATCTATGTTCAAAAGAAAGAGATGCAGAGCATATTTCTTGGTAAGCTGTCCTTCACAAAGCATTGCAGGAGCTACAGTACCAAGTACCTTTAAACTGCTAATCCTTAATAAATGCCTTACTGAGATAAGAAGGTTATTAAAGTCTGTGCCATTTTATATGTAATCAAAAAATCCAATTTTGTTTACTCATTCATAGTAATTTCCAGGAAATGATCAAACTATGTTCTTGCACTTCATGTTCCTATTTAAAGGTTATAATCATCTGTACAAAAATAAAAAAAATCTGAAATGGAATTTCTGTTGACTCAGAACAAGTACAATAGCTTCTAGAAGAAAGAGTTTGAGATAAGGAACAGTACATTTAATACTTAAGGTCTGGCATGTCTTGTAAAATTTACTGTCTGGTTGAAATGTAACCAGCAAAATGAATAAATGTGAAAAATGTGCTACTTTGATTTATAAGATAGTCAGGCAAAATCATAAGTGCATATTACTATAGTAGCCAACATTGCATATTGTAACTACGTACTACATCTCACACTTAAAAGTATTGGATAGCTCAGTATTGCAGGTGGGGTCCTTTTTGCTTTTGGAAAGAAAGAATCTTCACACAAAATGCATATTCCCCCTAAGCAATTAACATAGATATATAACTTTATTGGGCCATTTGATTGATTTTTTTCAATTTAATTTTTTATTTATTTTTAAATTTAAATTTAGATTAGAAACAAGGTTGCTTCACAAGTCAGTTCCAGGTCCCTCTCTGTTTCTCTCCCCTCCTCCCATACCCTCCCTCCAACTCCCCCCAATATCCCCTCATTTTGATTGATCTTGATCATGTCTGTCTATCTTCATGTAAATATCTTCTTAAGTACCTAATCACATGGATAAAATAAAATTATGGATTAAACTATGGTCAGCTGTAAGCTAAACAAAGACATATATATATATATATATATATATATATAGAGAGAGAGAGAGAGAGAGAGAGAGAGAGACGAATAGTGAACTCATACTATATGAACATTAAGTGAACAGTTCACAATTATCAAATACATTTTTCTCAATTATTGTGAAAATAGAAGCTGCTTGAGAATATCACAATGAGTAAAATATCTGATGAGCTTTATTTTCTCAAATTTTCAAGTGAGAGCATTGATGTCAAGTGATAATACAATTAGAGAGATTAAAGGCATTCCCATGAATCTTGGTTTCAGCTGTCAATCATTTTGCTCTATTTTGTATGTGTGAATGGAGCTTGAGAATATCACCCAACATCATGCCTATTAATTTGTTACCTTGTTCAGGAAACAATTTTTGGCAATCTTGTTACTCTGATCTTTCAATTTGTTTGCTTCAAGAGGACAACAATGGAAAATTCTAATAAATGAATATGTGTAACCCAAATAATAAACCAGAGACAGGTTTTTAGGAAAAAGCTGAAGATCAGAAAAGCAAAGCAGCCACCACCAGCTCTTACCTTTACCTCAGAGTTAATGGGTGATCCTGTCTCCACAAATCCTGAGCGTGGCTGGTAACTGAATGTCTAAGACTGAACCTGAACACCTTCCTTCTGTCTTATATGCCTTTCTCATGCTGGGATTAAAGGTTTGAGCTCTGTTACCCTTTTAGACTGATTCATTCCCATGTATCTCTGAGTAGCCTTGAACTCATAGAGATCCATCTATCTCTGTCTCCTGAGTCCTGGGTTTGAAAGGTGTTCCATCACTGTCCAGCTTCCATGCCAGTGGCCAGCTTTGTGTTCTGATCCTTCAAACAAGCTTTATTAAATCATTAATATATCACCACAAAAATGAGCTTGATTAAAAACCCCCATGGAGGGCCTCACCCTCCCTGGGGGAATGAGGGGATAACGGGGGGGGGGTTGGAGGGAGGGCATGGGAGGAGGGGAGGGAATGGGAGAGGGACCTGGAACTGACTTGTGAAGCAACCTTGTTTCTTATCTAAATTTAAACTGGAAAATAAAATATAAAAAAACCCTAAAAATCAATAAAAGCTTGGAATAGGAATAGATAAATGGGAAATAAACTGGTAGAGATTGTTTTTAGCTGGGAAATATTCTAAAAGACCTATTTATATAAGGAACATGCAGACAGAAGTTTGGAAAATCCAAGGCACTGTGATTAATAAATTGATCATAAGGCTCTAAAATACAAAAATATTAAGATGATAAAGAAGTGCTGTTGGGGCCTAGGCCCCACAGGGTCTCTGAGTTGTTTGTAAGCTGATAGTCACAGGTGCATCCTGTTTTCTAGTCCTGACTTACTGCCCCTGCATTGCCCCACTGACACCAACATCTAGCACGAGGAAAACGCTCTCTTCCACCTGGGATTGTAAGACTATATATATAAGACTGCTCCCTCCTACAAGAGAGAGACCTCTCAGCACTTGCAAAATAAAGACGCTTCTTAGTACAAACAGCTGGACATCTGGTCTTTCTTTTCCTGATACCTCGGAGTTGCTTGCGGTGTGGGCGTCTCAGAGTGGAAACCTCTCAGGGCAAAGGAGTGGTCTTTTTTGTGTGTGTGTCTGAGAAGTGATTTCCTCAAATACACAGAATATTTTACATCTGTAAGCTTTTGTGCATTTAATATAAAATTCTCATTTTTCTGAGATATAAATATAGCTCTAAATCCATATACTGCTCAAATCGCATTAAAAGACCACAAAGTCCTAACTGTTCATTTATTGATTTTTCTGTATCATACTTGATCATGTATTTACAGTAATTTGTAAGTTTCATGATAATCTTCATATAATATCAAA